GCCGCCAGTGCTCAGCCCCGCGCAGACCCTCACCCACTCCGAGTCACGGGTGAAGATTCCCTCCCCCGTCCCTGGTCTTCACCTCTGTTCCCCATGGACCCGAAGGGAAGCGCATCTCCCTCGCGGCTGGGCACCTCATCGGCTGCACGCCTGCACCAGTCCCGGCTCCCGTATCGCCACATGTATTCATCAATTAAAAAAAATATAAAAAAAAAAAAATCAATATTTCTTGCATAAAAACCGCAAGGATCCGTGTCCAAATCTGTAAACTTAGAAAAAAAAAGTCAAATAAGGGAGAAAACTAATATGGTTCGAAAACTAATATGGCACCTATGTGCGCTGTATTGTCATCCTGTTACAATTTTGAACACTGCACGTAATAGAAATCACTTACAGCTTAATTTGCCAGCGGTAACCACAGCACATATTGCTGCCACCGCTGTCAGGAATCCATCCCACAGCCCCCTATAGAGCCCAAAACGCCCGCAGCGAGTACCCCCTTCAAAAGTGCACCCCCACCCAGCAGTACAGGAAAATGAGTGTCTCCGTTTCAGTAGTGAGCTGCTGCCAAGGATAGCTGAAATGCTGCTGCTGGCACCCGCGAAGCGCGGCATCCCTCCAAGGGAGAATTCAAACCATTTGTTTCATATTTCAGGTCTGACTCAGGACGTGCTGGGCGCCCGGCAGCATTCCCCAGACGGCAGCGCAGAGGCTGATAGCCCTTAGTGCTGCACCCACCGCCTGCGCTGGCTGTCCAGCTGCCTTGGAAGGAGAGACACCTCCTTTTGTGGGTCATATCCTAAGCCCTGGATGCAATAAACAGTTGTTTGGAGCCATCCTCTCCGACTAATATGAATATTAGTGTTTGAAAAATGCCCAAGGAACCATAAAATACCCAGCTGTACCACTTGCTGAGATGTGGTGGGAAGTTTTCCTTGAAAACTACAAATCGGAAGGTTTTTGTCATTGCTGACACATGGTGCCTTGACATTGTCCATTTGCTTGGTGGTTTTGGACTTCAGCCACTTATGATTCTTCTGCCTATACTCAGCACAGGTCCTACTCACACAGTTACGTGAGAAGTCATTGCTGGTAAATAGGAAAACAAGATAAGCATTGCCCATTCAATTCACAAGGTAGCAAAGGAGGTCCCAAACTCTTTTTGAAGTTAAATATGAGAGTGGTATGAGCCACACCAGCCAGCAACATCTGTGTAGATCATGGCCATCCAAGGGAGCAGTCCTGATGCTGGCCATGAGGTTGTCCTAACCTGGCCAGATGCAGACCAGCTTCATTCTGCTTTGAAGGTGTCTTCCTCTTCCTTACGGTCAGAGGGGCTCTCTTAATAAAGAGAATAATGGTATTTTTAGCAGAATATTGAGGCACGTGGGAAATCAATCACACACAGAGAACTGGAAGCAGTGCAATTAATGTTATGTGCTGTAAGTGCTCTCTGAACAGAACTGGTACATGCTGTGTGCACTCAATTACTGGTACGCCATTAGCCAAGGTCTCCAGCACAGCTGTGCTGGAGCTCTAGCAGGACACAGTATGACACCAGAGGATGGTTTTGCTCCACTGTTTCGATTCATTAAGTACTGCTGAATTATTTCACAGGCAAGAAGGCCATCTACTGAACCAGGAGACACAACAACACAGGACACACTAAGACACAACAGCACCTCACCACCCTGGAGTTTAACTCACAAGGATCTGTGTCGCATCCTCACAGGACAGATCCAGTAGCTGTAGAGCTGCTCAAAAGACATTTGGCTCCACGCAGTGGTGTAAATCTGTATAGCTGCCACAGATCAGACTTCTCTGATTTTTCAAGAGTCACAGTAAAAGGAAACCAGTGTCAGTGTAAAGCAGTGGTTTTCACTGGCCCACAAGACCGGTTTTGGTTTGTGAACTACTCTAGCCACTTTCCAGTGGGTGCAGAAGTTTAAGCTGGGTTGAAGATTTTCATATAATCACTTTGCTTTTCTCAGTCATCTCCCCTGCATCCCATAGATGATATTCACAGACCATTCTAGGGTCTGCTGGCAGCGTGCCGACAGCCTCTGCTTGGACATTGATCAAGAAGATCAACTGTGTACAAGCATGTTATATGGCCTCTCTGTGCAGTCAGAGTTACCAGAGTTTTCTTAGAGTCTCTGTGGTGGCACAGAGGTTGAGACGGAGCCAAACAGAAAAGGAGAAGAAGAGAAAGGAGCAAAGCCAGAAGGAAATTGAACGAGCAAGGATTCAAGTAAGTGGTGGGAGAGTATCTGGAGGTGTTCAAGGCCAGGCTGGACATGGCCTTGGGCAACCTGGTCTAGTGGGAGGGGTCCCTACACATAGGGGGCTTGGAACTCAATGATCTTCAAGGTCCTTTCCAACCTAAACCATTCTAAGATTCTGTGAATGCAGAGAAGAGGTATTTTTGCCACTACAGCTTGTTAGACTGGTCCCAACCACATAGGGGCTGTACTGTCCCAGGTGGTTTGATGGGAGACAAGGATATGTTGGTGTAATACAGGATTTCTCTTACTATATGAGAAGTTGGCTGTACCAGCAGCCATCTAAACAGCCTACCCACAAAGTTCCCTGCAGCCAGGTAAGTCGACAAGTCAGCTGCTTCCAGCCCAGCAGCAGATGTGGATGTGAGTCCGCAGTTAGAGGGAAGGAAGTTCTTTTGAGCACTCCACGAGCCAGTCTTTGATCTTCTACATACTCACACAATATGCCAGTTTTCTTTAAAGAAAGAGGTGATTTCCACTTGACTGTGAGACCACTTCAATGCTCCTAGGTAAAATCGCACCCCAAGAATAGTTACCCAGTAGTGTCTCCCTAAAACTAGGCAACTTTAGAAAGAAAAAGAAATTTGACTTTTCCTTAAGCTCTCTGCACACCTGCAGCTCTTCAAAAAAAAGTCACTAACTCACATTTCTCAAGTAAATTGGTTTCAGCTGTTGCTGCAGCAGCTCATGCTGGTCGCTGATAAGGAGCACCCAGCTGTCACTCACATCCTGGTGTTCCAGGTTGGAGGATGCTCTTCTCCTTCCCTACGCCCACACTCAGCAGTTGTGAGCAGCTCAGTGCTGCTCTGCCTCACAGCTCTTTCTCATCTCCCCTCCACTATACACAGATATTGGGGGGAAAAAAGGGAAGCAACTGGCAAACCACCCAGGAAGGGTGAAACGGGGCAATGCACCCCTGGGGTCCTGCTCTGCTCCCCAGGAGCTGCTCTGTCCCCACCAGGATGAGGGTGGCTTCCCGGAGGAGAAGGCTTGCAGCAGCAGCGGTGGTGTTTCACAACAGAGGGAATTGCTTTCCCCTCTGGAGTTGGGATGTGGAAGGGGGGACTGAGGTTTCCTCATCAGATTGAAATGACGATCAGATGGATGAGGTTCCCCAATCAAATGGACTGGCTACAGCCCCAGCCCACGCAGTGAGAGGTGGCAGAAAGACTTGGGTCATCTTTTGAAATGCTGCCACCCTTCCCAGTTCCTTACAGCGCTGAAACACCACCCCTAGATGAGCCTTGTTGTGCCACAGAACTTCACACCCGAGGTGCAGGTGTTACTGCTGCAGCATGTCATCTTCCTCCTCCTCAGGCACTGACCATTTTCTGGCTTTTATAAAAAAAATAATTAGCAGGATCACGGCTAATTCCAGATGCATTTTCCTATAGGGAACCAACTAGGCTGCAGCTTGTAGCAACTCCTCCCTCCCTAAACATTTAGATAAAATACTGCAACCTCTAAAAGAATAATCTTATAGAAAAACATTTAGGACCTTTCATAGCTCACACTAGTCTGCTATTAATAGTCACTCCATTTTCACGGTAATAGTGCGGGTAGGAGCCCATACATCTAGAACAGGAGAAGGCAAGCTAATCCCCTTTCACGCTGTAGGGTCTACAATACAGCTAAGCAGCTTTAATTCTCATTAGCAAAGTGCTGCAGTACAGGAGAGCCATTTCATCTCCCTCTAGTGCACTACAGCAAGAATGTATCTAGAACTGCTAGCTAATTGGCAGTTATTTTCTCCCAAAGATTTCCACAGATACGGAACGGTTTTGATGTCACTGAATTCGCAGGTTCTTTGAAACGAAGATGATGCATTTTCCGGGTTTATTCTGTTCTTCCCCATTTCTCTCACCTTCCTGCTATCAACAAGAAAGGGAGAGAGGTGAAGGAAAACGGGAGGAGCCAGACAAAAATATGCAAATCCCTGAAGGAATAGAAATCAGAGTAATTTTTTTTTTTTTCCTGGTTGCTGTTTCCCTGGGGGTTAATGCCCCTTCAGCAGCAGTTTTTGAGAGTCAAGGAGAACCTGAAAACTTTTTCCCCCATAATATGACTGTCAGCTGTTACTGTAGTCAGCTATACAGTCATCATCATTTCCTCTTCTTCATATCCTCTAGATGGTGCTTGTGTATCACTTTCTACACAAAATAAATCATGCTGCTGCTAATCAAGCTTGGAAATGGATTTTGTGCTGTACTACAGATCACTAGGAGCAGAGGGTTGTGGTGAAGATACTGGGTGGTTACCTGTCCTCAGCTTCTTCTCAAATGTGAGATACAGGACAGAAAAAACCCTATGGCACATTTTTCTGGAGTTTATGAAGATTAAAATCTGACTGTATTTCCTCTGTATCGCACCTTAACACGCTGGTGATGCACAAGGGTTCGCCCTCTCTGTGCCCACTCCTGTCCAGGGGTGACTGGAGTTACAGAGCAACAGCATACCAAGTGTATGTCTAAAAAAGCCTATGGGAAACAACAGATTCCTAATCAAAATGGCATTTCCCAAATGCTGGAGCACCATGCTTATCCATGAACAACATTACCAAAGCTTGCAGCTTACAGCAAGCCCAGCAAAACAGGAGCATGCCTCTGCGCCACAGGAACAGAGGAAATTTCAGCATAAGAGGCTGGTGCAGGGAGGGAAAGAAACCAGTATTCTGCCTCACAAGAAGAGTGGGTAGCTCTGAATGGGTCTATTTGTCAGGGAAAAAAAGTTTTTTTTAAAAAAAAAATCAATCCCAGAAAGGAAAAAACATCCCCTCAATCCTTTATTATTCCACTCTCCATTCTGATTCAGGACGCAAACATACCTAGAAGTACTGAAATGTAACAGAGGCTAAATTCTGGCTATCCTTCTCCTTTACCCAATTTCAACTGTATTAATTTAATTTTTAGATAACCCATATAGTAATTCCCATGGCTCAGCCTTCTCTACCTGTGCCCACCTGGAACCAACCAAGTCATTTCATTTCCTCTTGTGCATTCATGCTCTTCAAATATTTGCAGACAAGCAACCCGGCTAGTCTCTGTTTGGATTCCTTATCTCAACGGGTTTTGGTCCTTAAAAATTCTCTCTTCCCTTCCCCACACCTTCTGTCTAAACTTACCAAGGGGTAGTCATCAGACACGCTCTCTAGCAAACAAAGTTACTGCATACCCAGCTCTCAGCTGGGCAGGCAGTGGGGTTGGCTGGGGAAACCTGGCCATTTGATAGGAAGACAGCAGAGAGCAGCTGTGCTCCGTAGAAAATTGTTCCTACTTCAGTTCTTGAACCTACAGACACTTGCAACCACCTTGCCAGGGAGGTGTGCATCCCTCTGCCAGTAAAAAATGGGGTTGCCAGGGTAGAAACTTGGATTTTTTCTACTACAAGAAGAGGAACCACTATTTTTTTTTAAGGTCTTAAAGCCTTCTACACCCAAGGCTTGCTTTGGTTTTTGTTTGTTATTTTGTATGCGGGAAGCACCACCAAAAGACTGTAAATATGATGGCTGACTTCTCACTAGCTGAGATAAGACTCCGTTTTTATAGATGGGGATGGTGCAGTGACTTTTGACAAAAGTCACACTGGAGATGGGGAGCAGGGGTTACCAGCTTGCCTCCTGTATGGTGATATAATTTTCCATTTTTGGCCTGGGTCATGCCCCTGGATTGTATCCTTGCCCTCTGCAGGTCATATGGCCAAGTGGCTATTTCTAGCTCTGTCAAGTTCATACCTTTTATTGCTAATAAATTAATTCATAAAAATCACACTGCTTTGAGATACCAAAGCTTTTTTTTCTTTTCCTCCAAAAGGAACATTTAAGCCAGAAGTGGGTTCAACTTTTCAACATTTTGCTGGCTTCAATAGTCACTAACATCTCCATAGCCAATTAAGCTGCAATAGATATCCAGCCCCAGGATTTGTGGCTGCTCTGCTCTCCAAGAGTACAGAGGCTGATCTTGGAAGGAAGGAAAGGAGTTTTAAACCTTCTTCATTTGGATTTTTAAAGCATTGGTCCTCAAGCCTGACTTTCAGCACACTGAACACGCACAATCACTTTCCATGTGTAAATAGGTGTGTCTGCAAAACCACTGGTTTCCCTTGCTCCTTGTTAAAAGTCTATTTAAAAAGGAGCAGGAAAAAAAAAAAAAAAAAGGCAAATAATGTAGGAGTAGCGCAAGGTCGTGCCCACAGTCCCAGCCAGGCTGGCTGCGGCCATTGCCAGTGTCTCCCGGCTACATCTCGGGTACATATTTGCACTCCTGGTGCCTCCTCCCTCCAGGGCCATTGGAGCATGTAGGGCAGCCCCCGGCTCCACCCGAGGCAGTTACCTCCCTATATTCACCTTCCAGGAGGTACGACAGCACTGTGCCGTGCACCGGGAGGGTGAGCAGACATGTCCAGGGTTGCGGCGAGGCTCTGCCAAGAAAGAGCGGCCGC